CCACGTATGAGTGGTAGTTTACTGTGATGACCATTCGCTTAATGTTCGAGCTCACAAAACGAATCGTCGCGAACATGGAACGCGAAGTTCAACCGTTTCGGATGTACATAATTACATTGCCAATGTTAGTTAGTCCGTAGAAAAGTGGATGAAAAACATTGAACAACCGGTTAATTAATTAGTTTCCTATTCATGCGAGCGGTACGTTGTTAATTGAGGCCGAATCACACGATACACTAGCATTCATTGTCTGAAACAGATCGACGATAATCTATCATAGTTTGTCAGTGCGCAACTATGTTTTATTCAGTCGAAGCTTAATTATAGAAAATCATACTTTAGATGGTTTTCTAAGATAAGCTCTAGGTTGAAAGCATTCAACTTTTTATCCTACAAGATTTCTACGTTAACGTTATTATTTAGCATTTTCTGGTTTTAGTGATTAAATATTTATGATAAGTGTCTTATTATTATGGTTCAGCTCCAATAAATTTCAATGGTACTCATAAAAAGAAATATTTCCAGGCATTGTTACGTTGTACCAAGTTGTACTTTTGTGACTCTATCATAGAAATCTGTTACAGGGAAATAAGTCCGAGAATATTGTTATGTTAATTACTTCAAATACGTGTATTCGTGTACACTCTAAGCAAAATCCACCAGATATCTGATTATAGAATCGAAAGCCACTACGGGAGCATGTAGCTGTTAAACAAATTATTTAAATATGATTGATCTTAATCTGCCTGTAATTAACCTGATGTTTGGAGAAGAAAAAATATAGCACATCAGAATTATTCGCACACGCTTTTCTCAAGACAAGGAATGTAAACGCGAACGCAAGCTGGCGTGACGCCCGAGCAGTCGGTCTTATCATACGATCTATCAAATTGTGATGCTTTTTCTTTTGCAAACTATGTGCGAAAAGGATTAGGCGAGAATATTAGCACTCTGATAATTCTGTGAACTGTCTCGCCGCTGACTAATAGCTTAAGCTGCGGACCGCTACATGGTAACGGGCTCAAATAATTATCTTCGCTGACAGAATCAGCAGACCTGCTTTGACATATATGCAGGGCAGCCATATCACATTCATGCATGGCTAATGATAACACCCGACCGCAATATACTAGCGTGTTTCACTAAACAGAATTTATAATACAATCTATATCAACTGACTGTTTGCGTAACAGATTGCTTGATTGTTTAAGATGACTGATTCTAAGTGGGAGCAAGCTCACGTCTATGCCATAGTGCTATGCAAAGCTGCAAAGACGTTTATCGGAGAATTAAACATTAGCAAGAATGTCAAAATTATTAGTGTGCACCCGTAACCTTATCGTAAATTTAATACTTTAATGATGTCTGCTAAAGGGCCGACTCTGATAAAAAAACCCGTGGTACCTGGACAAAAGCCATCGCTCGGCGTCACCCACGGTTAGTTAAGCGAGCGACATGTCATCGATATTTTTTGCCCGGCTGATGTCTTTAACGAAATTCATGTCATTGGGTCCGATTTCTCTAAGATTAACTTTTTTACATTATTTAACAAATAGATCGGACCCTTATACGCTCGAATATTCAGTTACATGGTTTAACACTTAAAAGGGCTTAACGACTCTAACATATCCTGCGGGTTACGATAAAAAAAGACGACAAAAAGAGAATACTTCTCGTGTTTGTTTTTTAAAAGATGTCTGCCGAAGATAAGGTGCAGCGGCACTTTAATCCTCCAACCGTCCGATATTTGAAAAGGATATGATGACAACTTTTTTGTATTCTTTATCTAATAAGCACACATAACCAATACTTACTTATTTCGAAGTTTGTCTAAATAGATAAATGAAAATTACGTGTTATATGTGAGTATTTAGTTACCTGTCATGTTAACGAACCGTTTAGGAACTGTCAAACTAGCGCTACACAATGCGCAAGACTTGTTCTATGCAAATATCTTGTGAAATATACAGACTGTTACCCTTGGCGTTGCCTTCAACAGTGAAAAACGACGCATCGAGGTACATATATTCTAATTTCATAAATCGTAACTGTATGCTTACAATGTAGAGGAAGCTACTCGCTTCTATAATTCATTTGTTCTATCAATTAACAGTGACTCAAATAGCCAGTAAAGTAACCAGTAGAGCTTGCAAACATTTTCCGGAATAACACACTTGTGAAGTAAAAAAATTTTGTTTCGTGTTATACTCGTAAAGCAGTACTTCTTTCTCTTCTTTTTACTCCTGATGAGGCTATTCATATTCAATAGCAACTGTTCTACAAGCTACAGACTAGATAATTTACTACAATGACGTGTCTGAAACCATTTAGTCTTCGCTATACTATCGTTTTCCCGGCCTGTTGCCTAACTCAACTTCACTTAACGGAGCCTGTCAAGTGTTGATTATAATTAACAAGATCTCGACGGGCAAACACAACACTTTTTTCAATATTAGAAACCGCAAATCGATTGCTTGGATTTTGTTTTATAGCACATATAAATATATTCTTCATTCAAACAGTTGATGATGGACAAGTTTATACGTATCCAAAGAATAATAAAAGTTTCCTTAACGTACCCAATAATGATAGGAGTACATTAATGACGTCATAAATTCCATAATATAAATACATGTTTCGTCTTTTTAATTGTAAATTAAAATTATTTTGTTTAACCTCTGATTCTGACATTAAATTATTAAAAGTCAACTCTCCATTAGTATGGGCACCCGATGTACAGCATTGCTGTTCAACGTGTTAAAATAAACATTTCACCTTCAATACCAATAATTAAAGTCAACAATATGTCACTAAATAAAGTATCACTCGTTGAAAATTATTAACTTTTGTGTGAAAAACATTTTAAACGCAATATACTAGGGCTATGAAGTAAGTAGCCACTACGCGGGTTCTACGTGGTCGCTACGCGTCCTCTACGCGGATGCTACGCTCCGTCTACGCAGCTACTACGCTTCGTCTACGCTATGGCTTACATGATTTTTGAGTATTATGAACAATTCGCATAATTAACTATTTTTTGTTCCCCTAGTACATTTAACAAAATACCATAAATATGAACTTCACTATCGATGTCTCCTGATAAAGTATCTAAAATTGATTGCGTCACTAAAATTCATAATTGTAATTATACACGTCTTGTTCATATTTCGTTTTCAACGTGCCTTGGCTTGCACTAGGCTGGCATCATGTACAGATCTAAACACACATACATTCTGTATTTCTACTGAAAACTTTTTTAATGTTTAATATTGTCTTTGTACCAGAATTTGACAATTTCTATTTGGATTTCATATAAAAACAAACAAACTTATTCCGCCATTTTTTATGTTACTCAAGACTATATTACGTTCTACATGTAATGTAATACCCCGGAAGGAAAAACATCATACATCGTAACAAAGCAACTTTTAGGTTGTGCTCTATACATATAAAAGATGTACCTTTCCGGGAATGAATTTGTTAACATTGCTTCAAACAGATTTAGTGTTAACTGATACCTGTTCACAACTCTCGAGCGAGCACATAAATAAAGCATGCAGTAGGTGGTGTAATAATTATATTATGTCGTTTCACCCACCAGACACTCGTATCATTTGAACGGATTGAATCCCTTTTAAGCACCAACGTCGCTTTCAGCCGCAGCCCCTGTATAGATCGATATCATCTCTATTACCATAGTCATTAGGTCGAATGAGCCACGACACACGCGAACACCTACCAACCTATACATAAATACACTACGTTAGCGAGCAAGGATTAAATAACTATGCAGGGTATGTAATGTAGGTAATGCAGGGATTCGACGTTTAACGGCTTCGGGATTACCTCAATAATTCCCTCAACACAACAAATGTTTTTAGCCTGCCGTGAGGGGGTGAGTGTGGGCTCAGCGGTGCGATAGGTTGTCGAAATGTTGGAGTCTATAGCAACAGACGTGACGGTAGGTATATGTCGCATGTTTAGGGCGACTGAAGCCATACTTCTGGCAGACGGGTCATAGCTCCAGCTTAATACGTCCACAGTCAACCGCGACGAGACTTTACTAGGCTTACGGCGACAGAACCGCCTCTTTACACAATTAAAGGTCAAGTCACACTATTTCTAAACTAAATTGCAAGGGTTCGTAAAGTTATATTCGAATATTATTACAAATTATTTGACACTAATATAATAGTTTTCATATATTATAGAAATATAGCACAAAAGATATGGGGTTATTATAATTGACTTCTCGAAAAAAAAATGACATGAGATGTGTAAAAACGACATTTCTCGAATCCTAATCCCCATTGAAAATACAATGAATTTTGGACGGTTAAAACCATTTTTCATTCCAATGACAAATATTTAGAAAGTTATTTCGGAACGAACCCGCGTGCGGGTCCACACTGAGCTCAATTAAAAGGACAATCTAAACTCGCATTTCTGGCATTATAATCGGACAACAGCCGGATGTTTATTTTGCGACCGCGCTATCGATTCAGGTAGTTCGGCGAATAATAAATCTATAACAACAACAATGTGTCCGCCCAGCCCAATCCCATTGTGATTTATTAAAAATTATCAATCGCATCAAATTAGTATTACTCGCTCGAGAACATTAATATTTTTTATGTACAGGGCCCTCGCCGTTGATATTTGCGTACAGTCGGTTCGCGCTCACGTAGGTCCTGACGACGGGACAGACACGCCCAAGGTTACTTTTGATGCTCACCCCTTTTCACACAATCGTTAAAGGCTCATTTAGTATCCATCAATTATTTTATATTATGCTAATTTTATTTTAACTGTCCATTATGAACTTTTTGTCGATTTATGGAACATTAACCACGTGAGCATATCTCAATTGCATTTTAATTTGTTCTTAACGCTTTGCGACTGGCTAGCTGTGCGCACGGAGGCCTCCTATCTACACATCGCGTCTGCATAAGCGAATGAAAAACGCGCCATAAAGGCATTTCAAAATTTGCAACTTACAGAGCACCATCTCGACAGCCTCCAACAGTCCGCCGCCGGCGCAGGCGGGAATGAGCGCGGGCGCGGGCGGCGCGAGTGCCGCGGCCCGGCCCAGCTCGCCTGCCGCCGCAGCCCCGCGCTGCTGCGACACGGGCCGCCCTATATTCCAGGATCCTATCACCGGACAAACAGTTTGCTCGTGTCAATACGAGTTTCTCAACTACCAGAGGCTCGCTTCCGGCGTGCCCCTGTCTATGTACAGTGCCCCTTACTCTGACGCCGCAGCGGCTACAGCTGCCGGTATGGCGGCGTATTTTCCTGCTTTAGCAGCTGATCAACCACCCTTTTATACAAATGCTGTAAGTATAAATCAAAACTAGCATATATGTACATACACAAAATTATCAACCAGAGCAGCAATAAGTATACGAGAATCTAGCTACAGAACAAAAACTTCCATTGATACTATTACAAACCACATCTAGAAGATATCTTTTAAACACTTAATTTGTTGAACGAATGTCAAATTCATTATAATAGTAATAACGTCCGTTGTCACGCTGAACTACATTGAATTTTTAAATGTCTATTTTTATTTTTGGTTGTAAGGATTACAATCCTATCTTCAAATACAATATATTCGTTTAGTAATAAAATACCAATTATTATGAACGCCGTATTATTAAAATCTAGATATCAATCTCTATGTATCAATTAAAATTTTAATTGCTTAATTAACGTGGACAAAGAGTTCAAAACAAGCACATAAAGAGGTCTTAAAACAAAAGTTTTAAATATTATCCAACAATGTCGCTCATTAGTAGTTGTAATTAAGCAATCTCGAGATGAATAATGTTATTTGACCGAGTTTTGAATACAACGGAGCCAATCCCTGCGGTTGACATGATAATCAGACGCTAGTGTTGCAACAAACATGAATTAAGGATATCGGATTGAATTGCAAATAAAAAGGAACATTAAATTAATTCTGTGCTTTTTGCAGTGTCGAATGTCGGTCACTTAATGTACCTCGTCTCTTAATTTCCATCGCATTAGAAATCACTTTTTTCATCAGCCTGTCGATACTTATATCGAATGGATTTATGTACATACGTATTTCGTTTGGCCTAATCAAAAAACGTATGAATAAAACTCCTTGTAAAAAATACATAATCACGTGCATGTTTTCCTTTTACATAACAGATTTAATAGTAATGCAACGGACGTGTAAGAGATACATTAAGAATCTTCGAGACCGTTAAGAATTATAACATTATTTTCAATTTTTGTTGGAATTTCTTTTAGCAGTGGACTGAAAACAGATAGAACACGATCCAATTAATAGGCAGGTAGGAGGATATTTACTAAGTAAAGAATGAATCACTTATTAATTTATAGTAAAATTAACTACTGCTAGTCTTCATGACTGGTCACTGTTTATACGTCTGTGACCACGTCGTACCGAGTACCACATACTTACAAAACTAGTTTGCTTGACAAGTCTCTGTCCTATCTGATACGAAGTAATTTAATATTTTATTGTTTCACTAACATTGACGTCGTATCGGTTTTATTAATTTGCAACGAATACTTAATATGATGTCAGCTAATATCGGAATATTTAGTGGTATTTATTAATATGTACAATTGATATGCTAAAGTCTAAAAATAAATTATTGAACCTTTGTTTGACAGTAATATTTATGTTAATCTAAGTCGTGCACTATCTAAATACGGAATTACATTGAAACTTGCATAATAGATATGGCATTTAGAATACCTAAAATATAAGTCAAATTTACGATATATATGTATAATTGTGAAGACAATGTTAAATACGATTCTAGTACAACGATAACCTATCAATAGACACATTTCACAAATGCACACAAACACAAAAACTAGTGTTTTTTAAGCAGGTGTGTGCCTATTTCATTGAACTCGTATGTACTAATGATAATTAACCAAACCAATAGTCACATATTCTATACCTCTTGTATACTGTCACAAACATAATTAACGCTTCTAACACAGTTGCTTATCTTTTTGTCCAAACTAATCTTATTAAACTATGACTTAAATTAATTACGTCGACAAAAGCTTAAAACCCGTCGCAGCTCGGTAACCAAAACCATCAAAACCAAAGGGATTATGTTCCTATCTACATCTATGGACGAAGAGCTTTACTTCCATTTTTCCCCCCACTTCCAACTACAAAGGGTATTACGTTAAAATAATTAGGATACGTTGTCAAAATATTACGTTAGAGAAGTAGTTATAAGACTCTCGCGGTGTTAAGTAGGCACCACAATAAGGTTTACGATATAAGTAATAAATACATATAAATTTGAATCGTAATCCGTTGATGTATGTTCTTTTGTCCATCGACCCAAAAAAGTTGTATCGAACCAGGCGGCTTTAATAACTTAATATGTTTAACAATTTCTTTCTGAAGATTAAAATGTGTCCAGAGTTCCATATTGCATTTATACAGGATTATAAAATAATAATGTACGTATATTGAGACATGTCAATCTACTTTCGTGAAGATTTGAAAACGTGTAGATATAAGTACCGGACATCACACGTACAAATTAACTTGAATGGTCTAAAATAATACAAAAACGTAATCATAAAATTACTCCTTGTGTTAGAATGTACCCTTCGAGACGTGTGTGGGTAGTGACTTTGAATGATAATGATCATAACAACATAAAAGTAGCCACGCTACGTAATATATGAGGTGTAGTAAAACTTTTGGAGGAAGGTGTTAAAAGCCGTGAACGTGTCCCGGCAGACGATTCAATCATTCATGAAGATATGATCGTACATCATCAGTGGCGAAAGTGTTAACTCTGGCCCGACGCCTTCAATGGGATCCTGCCTCACGTCGTTTTTTTATTTAACGCCTTTTATTTTGTCTATAATTTATTATTTCATCCCGGCTCGTAGGGTATCCGTGCAGTGTACACTTATTTTTTTCCTCTTTGTTTGGTCTTTTAGCTGTCGGATTATAACGTGTTTGTTTACACTTCAAAACTTAAATGTAATGCTTACTGTAAACAGAAATACGTTTATGAGACAAACGGAATATTCAAAGTGTCAAAATATTTAATAGCTCGCCCGGTCTAATCGCTTCCATTTGCACATGTGGGGCTATGGTGACGGGAAGCCAGCGTTATTTTATGAAAAAAATAATTTATAGTTCCGAAGAAGTATCCTAAAATAAATCATCGATCTGTGCTACCGCTTTTAGTCGTAGATTTGTGGTTAATGGCCGCTGTAATTTATGATAATTATAACATGTATAGTATTGTAATCAATAGCCACGAAGATTTATTCAGAAGTTTGTAAGTAAAACATCAATAATTTTAACATAAATTATCGCTACACTAGTTGTGGTTGAAAACAAAGAGAGTTTTTGTTTGCTGTTGATAGAATACATATGTTTATAGACACACGGTACCTAATATAAAAACAAGGCTTTTTCTAGACGTTAAAAGAACAAGGTTCAGTGAAATGTAGGTAAATCGGTTTATAAATTAAGTATAATGAGCACCGAACATACACTGCACCATCAGCTTTGTCCACGCTATAAAAATCATCGACCCCTTTATAAGTAAAACATAATACTATCTTCAACATTTATCATATTTTTATTGTGAAAATAAAGTAAGTAATCATTTTTTAAAATCCGTCCAAAAAGTATTGTATCTACTAAGTTCCTTTGTGGACTCGACGACATTTGAACGCTACCTGAGCTTGCGTGTCAACCACATCGCTCACCGGATTAACTTATACCTTCCATAAAAGTATATACCTACTGGCTAGTTCAACACACTAATGTTAATGGGATTATAGCTAGCTTCCATTAAACTCATAATGTTGATACCAATAAAGATCACGGCCAGGTTTTTTGTGCTCAAATAATTGTTTCGTTAAGATCAACACATCTATCAATCATTCCTTAACCGTATAAGTACGATAGCGATCAATTTATCTCTCTAAGTAAGTAAGCCAAATATTTTAGTAGTATTAGAAATTACACCAATTAAACTTTAGCATCGGATTTTAAAACTACAATATTAATTTAAAGCTCGAACATAGATTCACGAAGTACAATTGGCATTTTAACTGTCAAACGCCTACGATGGATGGGATCAGCCGATTAAGTAAATATTGCAGCAAAGTTGGTACAATAAATCCACAGAGCCACAGATTCGCGTTACGGCGTAGTCCGATTATTATTTGAAGTAACAGAAAACTGGAATTATATCACAAAGGTCGCAGCAACAAAGACCGACAGCGCGACTGGATTACGCTGTCGTACTTGAGTAAAATTTATTATCGGATTTTCGATTCGGCCACCAATGAAGTTGTTGGACAACAAAATCTTTTGATAGATTTATCCTGGCTGACCGCATTAAGACTCGCTCCTGAGTTATTTTTAATGTGTCGCTATAAATTTTTGGACCCTTAGTGACAGCCATGCTTTTTACGCGATCTCCGGCGCACAACCTTAATAACAAATTAATCATAATTTTAAAACTGCTGTTTATTTAATGTTGGACTTTCTCAAATAAAGTTATCTCAAGGTTTTAAACATTTCATATTTGTTTATTTTTGAAACGTAAAAGCTTAACAATTAAAACAACAAAAAATGTGGATGGAAAGATGATTGATGCACACGTCTCGTATCTTTACCCATTAAGTAATAATAGTTAAGACCAAAACTCTAAAGCGATCGATCAAGAAATCAATCCGACGAGGATCATTTTAGTAATGGATTGCTTTAAAGCTACCGGAAATTTGGAAGGAGATATTATAATAAAATTACAGTTAGACAGCTAGTAAATGTATAGCGGTGACAAATAGCAGACATTATAGTACAAATAATGAGTAATCGTGAATACAATAGAGAAATGTTTAAAGGTCAATACGATACATAGAGTAGTGTTTGAGCAATCGAGAAGCACATAAATCGTTTAAAAACACGTGTTCAACTTAAAATATTATTTTCATCATTCCTTAACAACGAAAAATAGAAATTGACATAGGTGTCACGTACTTACAGGTAGGCCTGTATGAGGCAGATTGAACTCATGCATCTTCACCTCGACTCTTCTCGCGGGTATCTTAGACCAAACTAAGGGATAACATCCTAAACAGATGATAACTAGACTGCAACGTTCTTTCATAAATGGTATCTAATCCACCTTACACGTGTGGAGATCATAACAAACCTTCTTTTGTAGAAAATATTAAAGTCGAACAATAAAAGTCGCTTTGATAATATTGAAAACGTAAAACGATTTCCATTGTAAATAGTTTAGTGTTTAGTGGAAGTTTTTGTTCGTGATCTCTGTCCTCATGTAGTTCTAGACTCCGTTACTGAATAATGCTGCGTTCCAAATATCTAAAATTAAAACCCTAGAGGTTATTTCTTATAACGTATTTGTTAAGTTGGTGTTACATTTAACGACAAAATTACTATACTATGCTTATGCTAACTATCAGGATATCAATCTGCTCATTTGCCTTTTAAGAAATTCAATTATAATGAACTGTATGTACTTAATTTTAAATGTATTTTGAGTCATGCTAATCTATGTTATATCCTTTATTCTTAGGCTGCAGGAATCGAACTCAAAGAAAACCTTGCCGCAAGCGCTGCTACCTGGCCATACCCGACTGTTTACCATCCTTATGATGCAGCCTTTGCCGGATACCCCTTCAACGGGTGAGTACTGATTGCTTTTATTTGAGTTCTAATTTATTACCGGGATTCTGCATTACATCATGAAAACTGATCTTCATAAATCTTTAAACAGATAAATAGTAAGAAGTCAGTCCGATAAAACTTGCGTCGAAAACACAATCGACTAAACTCTGATAACATTTGCCTAGCAAAATCGCATGCATCTATAATTCAGGTGCGTCTCTATGCATCCTGATTTACAATTCCCGTTGACAGAGCTGGGCAGCTCTGTGTCTGGCATAATTAATTTTTGAGTAACTGGCGCAGCGAGCCAATACCAGACAATGGCTGGCCCTCGGCAATTTACAGATAAGTCCCTAACGGCGCAATATCGACAGAGTAGACGTGCAAATCTCTAAAAAAGGGGTAAATCCGACGTAAAGGCTAAAACGGCTGCTATACCCAAACTACCTACTGTCACTCTGCATTTCCTGGTTCCTGCCCATGCTACTGATGCTCTTTTTACGCCGGTGTCCCGTTAAAAGCAAGCCTCTAAACGTTTATCGAGGAACACATGACAGCTTTGTGGCTGCTATTGCTTTTACCATTTGATAGACTGCCTTTAAGCCTCTTCACAATACGCTATTGTACAGCTCTTTAATTAAAGTTAGATTATGTATGCCTAGTATGCTTACAGCGAGTCAATTAGTTCCTCCTTGTTTTTACTTATTAAATCGAAAGTAATTTTCGTAACCGGTAATACGTCAAATACTTAATTACTGTCTTATTAAAATTAACCGTTAATTTCAAAGGTGAAGCAGCGTGTTATCATCGTTGTCACGCAATTGAGGGATAAAGATTAAGGTTCTTATGTTTCGAATTAATTAAGTGGAAGTTAAATACCAATATGTAAGTGTCTTTAGACACAAAACGAACATTTTCATTGGTTTATTCTAGATCGCGTAGCATGGCAACATTGTTTCTAAGTGTCAGGCTTGTGGTTTTTTAGTTGTTGCGGTTACAATGTAAGAAAGTCAGTAACAAAACCTTATATAGCTCATACAAAAACTACTTTGTCGGTACGTAACCAAATACTTGAGAGGGGTAGGTGTAGAATATCGATGTGTACGCCCCGCGGGTGAGTTAACGGTTGTACGCGCACATACCTACTTACACACTATAAATCTCATTTAGTTTACTGCACTTCAGCGTGTCATTGTGCCCGGCTTGTACTAATATTAAAGGTTTCTTGCATACTCATTTAAGAAATAACATTAATTTACCTCGAAAAATAATCAATAATATCGCACTGCTAACGACCTCTCGATTGTTCAGTCAACAAACATAGCTAGGAAAAATATTTATATTTCCATAAAATATTTTCCTATCACCATAAATACATACTAAACGCATTTCCGAATGGTAGGTAATCAAAATCCGTTTAACCCCATAACAGCTTACATTAGCAGATATCGTTTTTTTTTTAAATAAGTAGGTAATTCTTATGGAGTCTTTTGATGTTTGTATATTATCAAACGCACCGATGTAGATAGGATTTGATACAGTCAACACGCTTGTGTAAACTGATAGCGGCAAACTGAAAAGGCTACAAAACATGAGTTTATTAGATAATTATGAATGTTGAATCGGAATTATCGAAACTGTGTCCATGTATGCGGGTATAAAGTGTGTACACAAAATCAGGCTTTTAAGTGCGCAATTGATGCCGACCCGTATTTGAAAAATATATAGATTTTTACTATTGATCGGTGTTATAACTGAGATTTATTTTGATATTGATAAGCATTACGATGTCTCCTTTTAAAGTGATGAAAGTTATTGCCGCTTATATGTATTACTGCTAATATACTAATATACTACCGCTTATATAGCTACTATTTGTGCATAAGTACCTACAAACCAAGTAACCCAAAGAAAAATTATATTTGAATGTTTTATTATTTCGCTATTAATCATAAAGATTTGCTCCCAGTACGTAGTAGATAGATTTTATCAATTCGTTTTCAGTTTACTTCAGTGGGGTTTTATTAAAAAAATAATTTTATAAATAGTAACTAATATTTGCCTCTTCGGGCGACATATTATTTTCTATTTTAAAAGTTCAAAACTTTCAACTTAGCTACAGCTGCAATTAATTGTTCACGTTGTCAGTCCATAAGTGCTCAGGCCACACTGCACAGCAAAGGCCTCATCTCACAGGCAGAAGGTTTGAGCATTAATCACCACGTTTGCTCAAAGCGGATTGGCGATTTCAAACTTATAATTTGAAATTGTAAGTCCAGGTTTACCCGTCGTTTGAATTTATAAAATGTCATATTGGTACATATTTGGCAGCTTGTGAACCCGCACCCTCATGAGAAGTTGGCGCCTTAACTTCTAAGCCAACACGACATATACATAGATTTAACTACTGACTTATTTTGATTAAAGACAACCTTTATGTACCTATACCTTAATACATTAGAAACATTGTACAATCAAAGTTTGAGAAAAACAACAGAACGTAAATATTTTTCTTTAAACTGTTCTAGATCATGCTACAAATAGTTCTTTGTACGCTGTTTCTACAGCAATATTAACAAGAATTTCTAGTTAATTATTATATCATTCACGTAGGTATAAAAAGCTAAATAATTGAAGAATGCGTAAATAGTGAATCGCGTAGGAGTTCCGCCTTGATGCTGCTTGCAAAGCGTAACCCTCGCTGCCCGTGTATTTCGACGTCGATTGTGAACTCCATATAGATAATTGTTTAATTCAATTGTAGTAATTGGTTCAGATCGTTTCACTCGGTAAAACAAACAAACAAATGCGAGGGCTCCATAAGAACATAAAACTCTAGACAAATTAATACTCCATTACGCATACCACGTAGTATATGATGCATCCAACGATATTCCTGGGTATAATTTTAAATTTTTTTCATACTATTACACACGTCTTTACTAAATAAAATTACTTTTAAATTAGCCGGCTCAGTGGTTTTAACTTCTCACTTTGTTCCCTATAAGTAATTATTAAAGTGGCTATTATTAATATAAAACTTTCCTTGTGCTGACAATTTTAACAGTCATTGTAACGTTTGAACAACGCCATCTTGTGTTCATTAGGAAGAAACACCTTATCATTATTGAATTTATTGTTCTAAATGAGAATTGTGCTGTTTAGATATCAAACATCAAAAATGAATCAAACTTTAAAATAAAAGATATTTCAAATAAACATGTCAGCAACATGCTTACCCATTTGTAAAAGAGACGTCAGCGAAAATAATTAATAAGCAAATCAGTAGTATTTCACTAAACAAACAGCAAAAACCAGGAAATCTGTATTATGAAGAAAAGCTAGCTTTACAGTTTTTGTTACAGAAACACTTCATTAGTTTCACGCCTTCGTACTTAACAAGATTTTTTTCATCGATAACGTCGGCATACCTATTGATCGTGTAACAAGAATACGAAAGTTAATACAATCATGGCATCGTTCTCATGAACTGTTTTTGCCGCATGCTCATCGCGCCACGGCGGTAATTATAATTAGCAATGGTTTCATGTCAATGTGAGGAGGAAACATAGTGTTTACGTCACATAAACTACCCATAAACGATATCTAAGATGAAATTAATCGACAGGTGCGCTTTATGCATAAAAATCGCATCAATATACGGTAGACACAAGGATTAAATATTCACAATATCTATTCCTAACAGCTAATGTTAATGCATGAGTTTGTCTATCCGTTTAACATAAACTTATATCTTTCGTTTACCTATATGTCAACCAAGTACCTACTACAAGCCTAAAATGTTGCCTTATATGAATAGCGTTACCTGTCTGCTTTTTATAAACACTTAAAATTTTGGCCTATAACCACAATTTACATAATATGTACACGTGGGTATGCATTCAAAGAACCAATAGAACACCACAGATGGGCCGATGTTCAGCCGGGTTAAGCGCAATAAGGTTCCGCGGCCTCAGGCCTGGAGAAGTAGAAGGAACGAGGAGGTTTTTAATCCGTCAGAATCTGACACTCCCTCTCGCCTTACCTTGGTTGAAGGAAGTCGTTTTCTCAACGAAAAAAGAGATCTTGTGACCAAAAAAATCAACCACGGCAAATCGATCTGTACAAAAGACATGAGAAATGCGTCAATACTATAAATCGACTACAAAGAAGCCTAAAATTCGTCAGCCATTTTCAACTACAAAACACTCAATAATACGAAATCTTTAATTAAATTTAGAATCCTCCTTACACAACAGAATCAAAAAAAGAACTAATAATTTACCCTTTCAGAAATTAAAAGTGTGTTGTCATGTGAATCTAACGTCGTCATTAACCTAATGGGGAACAAAAACAAGCTGCGGATATAAGTTAATTAGCGACTTTATAAATCGTTAATAGATTGCCAGCGGTGTTAACTAAATGTAGAGAGTATACTTTGATTTATACGTTTTTAATTGCACCGCTGTGCAGTGATGCCGCGCTAACTTCGCTGAATGAATATAGATTACGCGATTGAAACTAACTTGAAGCGGTCTTCTACCTCAACGAAACCCCTCGTTAATTTGAATTAGTAATTTAAAAAACATTTTGTATCCTTTATTAGTTTGTATGCCGTTCTATTGGAAGTATTTATCGTTTGCTGTAAAACAGTAATTGGCTATAAAAACGTATCTGTGCTAAATAGTATTGCTAATAGCTACATTTACTTTACGCTGTTCCGGTTTACGTATTAAAAAGTGTGATAATGAAGAGTTACTTGTTGTTGTATTTCAATCGGACGGTGAATCGTAATCAATAATGTTAGCGGTACGTCGGTGTCTACTTCATTCACATATACATCCTAATTATCTATTATATTCGTAATTCAAAATCACTGTTATTTAAATTAGTTGTAATACAACCTACTTGCTACTTTTTAAAAAGGCTGATAGAGGTCCACATTGATTTTCTTTTAAGGGACGATCTTATATCTATATGAGGTAGAACAACGTGTTAAACTGCGCATACGCCTCATA